TAAAACTGCCCATACAAGTCTGTAATCTTTCTGAAGCCAACTGCCATTTTTCATCTTTCTCCCATGCAGAGTAGTGGGTGGGTTTGAATCTTAACTGACCTTTTGATTAGCAACCAAGTACTCAACCAAGGTACCCATATTCTCTAGCCACATAGCCAAACTTGTTCTGATTTATATAAAATAAGCTGTTATATCCAAAATTCACTAATGCTTATATGTTGGAAATAGGTTTCTCAGATCAAATGAAGAGACAGTAACTCAACATGTTAAAAGTATATAGCAGAGACTGCATGAGGTTATATCTGCGCACAGTCTGTTTTATCTCTTTTATTGGAGTTGAGTGGTAGTTACAATCATATAACACATAAGTTCAAATTAAACAATCAGTTGGAAGAGAGGCTTTTACTACTGAGTAAATAATGAAATCCTATGTGTCTTTAATGTATTAAATTCTGAGCCATTCTTTAGTCTGAAAATAAATTTTAGGATTTAAATGTTAAAAAAAAAAAAAAAAAATTACAACAGAAAGTCCTGGTATGGCACTGTAGGATAAGCACCAGGCCACAAGGTAGATTTCAACCACAAGGCCAGTGGTTCAATCTCATCAGTTGCTCCTCGGAAACCCTGTACAGGGTTGCTGAGTCAGAACTGACTTGATGGCACATAACAACAGCATGGGTTCAAATCAACACAATGGCAGTGGGTAAGATAAAGATCGTATCTTTTAGTGTCCCTAGTGGTATTCCGGAGTCCTGGTGTGGTGCTGTGAGTTAATGCGCCAGACTGCAAAGCTGTTTGAACTACAAGCTCAGTGCTTCAAGCTCACCAGTCGCTCTTAGGAAATCCTATGCAGGGTCGCTATGGGTCAGAACTGACTCGACGGCACTTCACAACAACAACAATAACAGTGGTATTCTAGGAGCCCTGCTGTGACAGTGTAGGATAAGCACTGGACCACAAGGTCAGTGGTACAAACTCAGCAGCCGCTCCTCAGAAACCCTGTACAGAGTTGGTATGAGTCAGAACTGACTTGATAGCACTTAACAGCAGTGATATTCTAAGGGGATTTGGTACCATAGTGGATTACAAACTGGGCTGCTAACAGCAGGGCCAGTAGTTCAAATCTACCAGTTGCTCCATGGAAGAAAGATGAGGCTTTCTACTCCCAAAAAGATTTATAGCTTCGGGAAACCCTATACAGGGTTGTTATGAGTTGGAACAGACTCAATGGCACACCACCACCACCACAAGTGGTATTCTGCAAGTGGCAGAAATTCAAGAAATATTTACTCTTCCTGACAATGTTGCTAATGATAATGATGCTGGCATTGACTGATAAAGCCTATTGGTTAAGATAACTTAATGGAGTCCTAGTGTGGTGCTATGTGCTGGACTGCAAGATTGGTCTGAACCACAAAGTAGGTAGTTCAAGCTCACCAGCTGTTCCTTGGAAATCCTATAACAACAACAACAACAATGGTAATGAGACTTCACAAAGAGAGCTAGCCTTCCTGGGATCACCTAGTACCCAGTATACCTAGCTTTTAATCTGAACATGTCCCTTGAATAGTGAGCTTTTTCCCATTTCCTTTATGACATGCAGTTGGTGGGGCTGCGATCTGGCAGAGGCCCCTTTAAAATGTACCCAGGCTCCTACTCTGCCAACCAAATTGCTAAAAATACTACTACAGCAAAAGCTGAAATATTTGCAGAGAAAACAGAATTTTCTACTACCCCCACTCATTCCGCTCAAATGGGTAAAGTCCTGACCTAAGAAGCCCTCAGAAAAGCTCCTCCAAAGACATAGAGCGCCTACTTTCCAGTCCCCCTCTTAGTATGGAGTTCTCTGTAGACTTGAGCTAGGATGCTAGGTTCAGAAAGTATCCACTTCAAGGAAGGGAAGTCACAAGTATTGGCAAACAGATTGCCATGTGCTATAGCTTTTCTCTCTGCTTATTACATCCAATCTTATTCAAATCCCCCTCCATCTATCCCAATAAGGGTCTGTATTGCATCTCAGAAGCTTCCTAGTAATATACCTGGTATCCTCTCTTTTATCTAACAATCTCCTTCTCTACCAACCTTGACTTCTTTTCTGGGCCCCTCTACCTCCATGCTTCTTATCCTGCTCCCTCCCTTCAGAAGCTCCTCTCATTTCCAGCCCGGCAGCTCTTTGCCTTCAATAGTGATGGGGGCTGGTGAATAGAGAGGAGAATTGTTGAAATTCAGAGTCAAGAAAGACGACTACTGTGCCCAAGCCCGGCTAGTTAATAGATTACATTACAAAAGTTTAGGCCCTAGACCAGGCAATCTAACATGAGGAGTACTACCTGACCTCACACAAAGTGAGGCTGCCTGCTTCTCAGTTATTTAAGAACCAAAGGCTCAGAGTCCCATCTAACCCTATCTTGCTAACAAACCTCAGCAACCAAGTCTATTACTAGGGGAACCATGTGATCTTGACAAGCAGTGGTGAAGGATCCATTTTTACATATGTCTTTGTGCCTGTCAGTGTGTGACAACATGCTTTCAGTGTGTATCTTTGTGGGTAGATGGAAGTGTGTGTGACTGTGCCTTTGGGTCACTTACATGAGGCTGTATGTGTTGCTGTTTCTGCCTCTGGATATCAGCATTTGTTTCTGTCTTCTCATTCAGGTCTCTGCCTTCTCTTTTTCTTGTCTCATAACCTGCCCATCCCCCAGGGCCAGCACTGTGGCCAGTCTTGTGTAGGCGCCTCAAGTGGGCTGTTACTGAAATGGTTGTTTTGAGGATGAAACTGCCATATCTGGTTGTCATATCTGGTCTCGCATGAGCATGCCAATGTTCAGAGACACCGTCACTCCCATATAAAGGTGTTTTTCAGGGAGAAGGAAGGGCTATGCTGCCTGTGTAGGAGTCTAAGAAGAGGGTGGGAGGGGGTTGTAAAGATTTCCCCCTTTCAGCTCTGACCAGCAGGAAGAAGAGCCCAGAAGCAGCACAGCCTGCAGAGAGATGTTGCCTAGCAACTTGGGAGACTTTACTGCAGACTCACCAAATCCTGATTTCCTCAGCTCTAATTTGGGAAGAAAAAAGCACATTGTCCAGACCTAATGTCCTCTTTGACCCCATTTTCCTCCTTCTCCATATCCTCTGTATTCTCAAGTTGATGTCCAGTGGGAGCTGGCACAACTTTCAGTCCCAGATGTGCAAGGGCCTGAGTACCCAGGACACCTGCCATTTGGTGGATGTGGGGGATAGAGGATGTGCCAGAGACAGATTGGGGAGCAGATTTTCAGTTACAAAGGTGGGTGGGTCCCAAACATGCTGGGCGAGACACCCCTACACCCCAAGTCCTAGAATCTCAGCTAGCATCCAACTCAGCTCAGGGACCCAAGCTGGCCAACTGTGTTTCCATCATGAGTGGATGCCGGACTCTCCCTCCCACTCATTTTCCCTTTAGCAAACAAAGCCTCTGGCTAAACTGTCTGGTAGGAAACGTGTAACAGCCATGCTAAGACTGGCCAGCGACTGGGAATTTATTTTACTGCTGTTTCAGGATCTCCTGTCGCATTCATATCCACTAGCCATTTTCACTTCCCTTGCTCTTCTACTTCAGTCAACATGTCCTAAGCAGCAGCCATTCTTCCTTCCTTCTTTCCTCTGGACCCTAGCTGAGAAAGACATTCTTGTTTTCTCAAAGGTAGCTACCCTACTCACATAACATACAACACTGCCAACTCTGGTGACCTAACAAGTTGAGGAAAATTGGGGACCACAAAAATGATAGATTATCCCTTCTAGATGATACCCCAAATCTCCCCTTCACAGCTACACACAAAACCCACACACATCCTTCTTCCGACGTGGACCCAAAGAGCAATTACTTCTGAAATTCTCATTTTGTTTAAGGTATGATTTTTCTTCCCGGGGACAAGGGTGATAATAGGACAAGTTTTTATCTTGTCCTGATCAAAAGGTTAGGGAGAGTCTTACATGGGAGTCAGAGGGAAGTTCAATTCTGTAAATAATGCATAAAAAGTGGGTGTTATGTATATATATATTGGTACCATCTGTTTGGTACAGGATGGATAAATATGTAATGCAAATATCTTGGTTAGGGTTAGGGAATTGCCTGTGTGTGTGTGTGCCATAAAAGATGATATCTGCATTTATCCACACAGGGCATGTACATAAAGTCTGTGTGATTATTTTTGCAAGTTGTATCTGCAGGATGCATGTATCTGCATGTTAAGAAAAACGCACGTTTTAGTGAGACTAGGAAGAATCATATTACGGACATGTGGGATCTATGAGCTTTTGTGCTTATGAGTCCATCACTGGTTGTGTGCCTAGTGGATCAATACGTTCTACAGCAGGAGTGCTGAAAGGACTTTTCTACTGTATGTCTCAGGAAGTAGGTCTTTGCCGACTGAGGAGGAGGGAAGTTAGAGGGAGCCGTATTTGGGACTCCAGCTAGGCTGTGGAAGTGTGGAGAGGTGTGTAGGGGATGCGTGGTTTTCTATAATCATTTATGGATGGAAGTGGATAGAGTCCAGGGTAGATGCCAAGGGTTTAAACTCTGCGCAGGTGTGTCCGGCACATTGGGGGCCTCCATCTGCCTGCTCCAGTATACATCTGACCACCCCTGCCTGTCGTTTAACAAGCAAGGAGGTTGAGTTTGGGAGAATGAAGTGTGTAGGAGGAATGGCTGGAAGCGTGTAGGCGGAGGGTTGGAGCACGTGGAAGAGAGAGGGGGAAGGAGCCCAAGGAGGGAGTGGTTCTGCATCTAGTTCTCCCCGCCCACCTGAACAAAGGCTCTTCTGATTGGCTTCTAGACCATGGAGCTTAGGTTACTTTCGCAAGCAGAGCTGAGCGCGGGAGAGAGACCCTGGAGGAGAGCAGCTAGTTCCGCGCGAGTCGGAGGTAGTCCGGAGTCCCAGAGTTCCCACCCTGCCTCAAACAGCCCCCACCTCTGCCCAGCTCAAATTTCCACCCCCAACTAACGACCCCACAATACCAACATGGACTGCTGCACAGTAAGTTACAGGATCTGGGGGATGGGCATTCCGCTTGGCGTGGGGCATAGGGCCCCTGAGGCTTCCCTGGAGGGCGAATAAATGGGTACAGAAGGCGAGGAGCCATTAGGGGCCCCAGCGAGACATGGGTGGGGGTGGTGGGAGGTGCCTACCTCACTTGGAAGCCTAGAAAGAAATGCTTCCCACCCCACGGGGGCGTCTGAACCTCACGGGGACAGCTGAATGCCATCCGCTAGACAGTCTAGGTTGAAGTAGGAGCTCGAAAACCTACTACAGAATCCAGGGTATATGTGAAGGGTTCAAACTGCAGCAAGAAAGCTCCAGGTTAGACGAGGAGGTACTAACCCCAGACAAAACGCTAGAAATGGTCGTCTACCCAAGCTGTAGCGAATCCTTTCTCCCTAGCTTTCGGCTCCCAACCCCATTCCCCACTCCACTGCCGCCACTATCCGTGGGCGGACAGACTGATCCTCACTACCTTCTGACAGTTGCATAAATGTCCTGTACCGCGCAGTTTATCTCGATTAGCTTAGTCGTGATGTCGGGCAGCAAAGAGCCTACTATGTGTGTTTCTGTGGAGGCTTAGATCCTGCCCCTGACGCCTTCTTGCTCTGGAGGGGGCTGGGTGAAGTGACCGCGGAAGAGCCCTACTGGCAAGGGAGGGAAGTGACCGTAATTTGTCATGCCCCTAAGGAAACCTGGACGCAGAAAGTAGATTGCTGTTCTGGTGACTTGCTATGAAAAGCGCCTGACACAGGACATAGGTCCTGGCTCTTGAGCTGTAAATACATATGTATGAGTGTATACATAGATATTTAAGTAATAAATTATATTTTAATGAAAATGTTTATAAGTAAAATTTTATAAATCGTATTATTTAAGTCAGTACTGGACCGTAAGGTCGATTTGAACCACAAGGTCGGCGATTCAAACTCACCAGCCGCTCCTTGGAGACATCATGAGTCAGAACTGACTGATGGCACTTAACAACAATTTATTTTGAACCCCTAAGTTTCGGGGGAAACATTAAAAACCTTAAGTATGGAAAGGAGTTCTGGTGAGCTACTAACTACAGCTAACTAGAACCACAAGTTCAGGAGTTCAGACCCACCAACTGCTCTTTGGAAACCTTATACAGTGTCCCTATGAATCAGAACTGACTTTGGCACATAACAGCGACAAATAAGGAAAAGTCCTAGTGTGGCTCTGTAGGATAAGCACTGGACTTTTAACTCCAAGGTCAGCGGTTCAAACAGCAGCAGCTCCTTGGGAACCCTATACAGGTTCGCTATGAGCCCAAACCAACTGATAGCATTTTAACAACAAGAAGTATGGAAAACGCAGACTTGAAGTCCTGTATTCCCATTCAGTCAACCCAGCTAATAATATAAGAGGTTACAGAATTTACTAGCTTCCCACCCTCTATCCCATGGTATACAAAAAGAAAGGGGTAAAAAATATGTAGTATGGAAGGAAAGGAAAGCCTCGTTCTACTAGGGGTGAAACTTTCCTACATCTCATTTAGGGGCAAGTTGTCATGGTTATGATTTTTACTCTTAGTGGTATCATTAATAGTTGCCAATATGTGAATGTTTACCATGTGATGAAAATAACCAGTGCCCTCATAGAGTTGATTCCAACTCAGGGACCCTGGTGTGGCACTAGAATAAGTACTGAACGCTAACCTAAAGGTCAACAGTTCAAACCCACCAGCCACTCACTGAAACTCTACACAGGAACACTGAGTTGAAACTAACTTGAGGGCATTTAACAACAACATAGTGATATCATGTATCAGAGTAGAACTGCGCTCCATAGGGCTTTCAATGGCTGAGTTTTCAAAACTAGATCTCCAGATCTTTTTTCTAAAGCACCGCTGGGTATATTTGAACCATTAGTCTTTCTGTTAGCAGTGAGGTACATTGACCATTTGTACCACTCAGGGACTCTATACGTAGTATTTTATATTTAATCATCATACAGTTCTAAGAGATGGTATTATTGCCTTCATTTTACAGATGTGCAAACATATTTTTTAAAGTTAAATGATTTGTCCAGTGATGCAGAACTTAAGAATAGTTATACTTCATTCTCTACTCTAAATATTTGTTTTTTCCCTCATCATAAATATATGCTCATAACAACCAGAACAGAAATCATGAGACTGTTGACATGTGCAAAAAATGTAAGCAGTGTCACTGAACAATTTGTGTTGTTGTTGAGTGCCATTGAGTTGGTTCCAACCCATAGCGATCCTGTATAGGGTTTCTGAGGAGCAACTGGTGAGTTTGAACCACCGACGTTGCAGTTCAAATGGCTTTGCAGTCTGGTACACTAACCCACAGCACCACACCACAATTTGTGTAGAAATTATTAAATGAGAACCTAAGTTGCTATGTAAACCTTTACCCAAAACACAATAAAATATTATTTTTTTAAAAGCAACATGTTCATACTAGAGAAATTTTTAACTAGAGAGAAGTTTAGAAAAGAAAAATGTCAATCATTTACTATCCCACCATCTGGAGAAAAATTCTGATAACATATCTCCTTCTAGTCTTACCTTCTGCTTGTTACTCACCTGGAAGGGATTGGTTGTAAAAGAAGGAATGGACTCTAAACAGGTTTCTGGACCCCACTGAGGAAAAGGCACTCCTCCTCAGCACTGTTTTATGAAGTAAAGAAAATAAATGGACTTTGGGTTCTGGGATGTGAGTTAAGGGTGTATACAGTGTGAGGTACTGCTGAGAAAGCATGATGGAAAAGGGAAGGCAGGGGGCATAGTCAATGGAGAGACATGAGAGAACCAAGAAGCCCAGGAAGGAATGTAACATGTCTTCCTCCAGTCCTTCAGGAGCAATTCAGGTAGCTGTTGAGTCCCTGCTTAATAGGTCCTGGTGTGCCATAGACTGATTGCATGTCAATAAGCCATATTGAGGGACTGGTAGATAAGGTTGAAATGAGTGTTCTCTGGAAAAAAGGAGATGCTGCCCATGCAAATAGTAAACAAGAGGCTAATCACACAATTATTCCAGTGGCCAACATCCTTGGGTACTTCCTACAGTGCACCTTGTACACAAGAACTTTCCTCCTGTCTCCTATGTCAGGAGGACCTAAGGGCTGAGCAGGAAAGATACCCATTGTGAGACTGTGCAGTGAGCAAGGGGTGACAGGGCACAGAGAGTATTGTCAGGATAGGGGTATCTTTCTACTCCATTTTGTGGGAGGTTGAGCTGCAGGGATTTGGCTCAGTACTAGAAGGAACTGAGACTATAGAGAAAAAAGCTTACATTTTAGGGGATAGAGACAGGTCCCTCATCATCTTTCATTCAGGGGCTCTCCTCCCTGACCACCAAACCTGGTGTTTGTGAAAAACTTAAACAACAACCAAAAAACCCATTGCCCCAACTCATAGCAATCCTGTAGAACAGAGTGGAACTGGGTTTCCAAGGCTGTAAATCTTTATGGAGGCAAACTGCCTCATCTTTCGTCCACTGAAAATCTGGTGGGCTTGAACTGCTGAATCTTTCGGTTGGTACCCAAGTGCTAACCCACTGTACCACCAGGGATCCTTCTGATATACATAGTCACATGTATATGACTTTACTGAATTCACTTAATATGAAAAGGCAAAGAAACATGTTTTTGGAGCCTGTGCCTTTCATTTGCACAGTCTAGTTGACTTGGTCCAAATGAATTCATAGACAAATGATTTGCCTTGAGGCAGTGGTTAACAACACAGTCTTCTTTATAAAATGTCTCTGAGGTTCAGTTTCCTGATTTCTAAAACAGAGATTAATGGAAGGCAATGCTAACACAGGGCCTGGCACATAAGTGCTGTTAGGATTTGAGAGCTGAAGGAGACTTTATCTTTTAGGCCAAATTCTAGCAGAGGCTGAAGAAATTGAGACCCTCAGAGGTGAAGTGATGTATCCAGTTGGGACCAGAAGCTATGGCTCCTTACTTGGCAACCAGTGTGCTATCCATCTTCACCCTACCTTTCAGTTGATAAGAACCCTCAGGCACGCATCATGAAATTCTGGTTTTAGAAGGCATCAGCCCTATGACCAACACACCCTTTCCAGTATTCCTTTTACTCTTCTTCCAGTTCTGTCTGTAAATAGGCCACCAAGCAACATTGCCAAGAGAATTCAGCTAGAGAAAGAGGGAGCTGGTTTAAGGGAAAAGCATTGGGGCAGGGGTGACTTTGTCTCTTGTCCCAGGTGTCCATTCTGAATCAAACTGAGGTGGGTGTCATAAGAAAGTAGTATAATTTAAGAATAGAAATAGCTACCATTTATGTTGTTGTTGTTAAGTGCCGTCGAGTCGGTTCCGACCCATAGCGACCCTGTACAGGGTTTCCAAGGGTGTAAATCCTTACGGGAGTAGAAAGCCTCATTTTTCTCCCGCGGAGCAGCTGGTAGTTTCGAACCGCTGACCTTAAGGTTCGCAGCCCAATTCGTAACCACTACGCTACCAGAGTTCCTTATAGACCAACTAAATTATGCCAGAAACTTCATGCATATCATATTGTTTATTCTTTCCCATAACCCCTACAGGTTGTTGTTGTTGTTAAGTTCTGTCATTGACTCGTAGCAACCTTGTGTAGGATTACCAAGATGTGACTGGTAGGTTTGAACCACCAACCTTATCCTACAGCACAACACCAGGACTCCATTATAGATTATAGTGGTAATTGTGGTAAGCAAATCAGTCTCTTATAGTCTGATGAAAAAGCTACAAGCAGATATTATTATGATGATTTTTCAAGTGAAGGAGTTGAGCCAGGAAAAGATTGGGTAACTTGCCCAAGACCAGACAGTTAAGCAAGTGGTAGAGCCTTGGTTCATTTTCGTGACTGCATTTGCTTATCCAGTAGAGTTGTTCTTAGCTGCCACTGAATTGACTTCCAACTCATGGTGACTTCATGCAACACTTGGTCAGACGATCTATAGAATTTTTATTGACTGAGTTTTCAGAAGTAGATCAGGCTTTTTTTCCCGTAATCTCTTACTTTGGAAGCTCCACTAAAACCTATTCAGCATCTTAGCAACATGAAAACCTACACTGAGAAATCAGAAGTAGCAGCATTGTGGTGCATTAGCCAGGAACTGAGGCTGGGAATCAAACTCCAGTCTCTCACATGGAAGGTGAGAATTCTACCATGGAACCACCAATGCACCTTATCCTATAGAGTTGTTGTTCATAGCAACCCTATGTACAATAGAAGGAAACACTACTCAGTCCTGTACCATCCTATTGTTGAGTTGGTTCTGACTCATAACAACCCTGTATTTGGTTTCCAAGAAATGGCTGGTGAGTTTTAACCATCAACTGTATGTGGTAGTGGTGGTTATGTGTCATGGAACTGGTTCCAACTCATAGTGACCCCACGGGGTTTGCAAAGTTGTAAATCTTTATGGGAGCAGAAAGCCTCATCTTTCTCCAGCAGAGCAACTGGTAGATTCAAACTGCTGACTTTGCAGTTAATGAGGCCAACTCTTAACCCACTACACTACCAGAGTTTCTTGCACCATTTGAGTAGTATTGTTGTTAAAATGCCATCAAGCCAGCTCCAACTCATAACGGCCTGTATAGGGTTTCTGAGGAGCAGCTGGTGGGTTTGAACTGTCGACCTTGTGGTTTACAGTTCAGTGGTGATCTGAGTGCTACACCAGGAGTCCTATAAAGTAGGGATTAAAAACATACTTAAAGGTTTGAATCCTAGGTCCATTGCTAGCTATCTGTGTATCCTCATACAGGTTTTTAAACACTCTACACCTTAGTTTTACTATAGATAAACAAGAGTAAAAATAAAAAGTACACTATAGCTTTACTTCGTCTCTCATACTTTGGACATGTTATCAGAAGGAACCAATTCCTGGAGAAGGACATCATGCTTTAGAGGGTCATCAAACAAGAGGGAGGCCCCTCAATGAGATGGATTGACACAGTGGCAGCAACAATGGGCTCAAACTAAACAATAATTGTGAGGATGGTGCAGGACCGGGCATTGTTTCATTCTGCTGTGCACAGGGTTGCTATGAGTCTGAATTGACTCAATGGTATCTAACAACAATAGCTTTACTCTGGTTTCTCTTCACATTGTAGAAATCTTTAGCCTTTTACTAAATATTTCCATGGAGGAAAAACAATTATGAGTTCTTAGCCAATTTTTTAAGGATTGTGGTGGCTCTAGAAAATAAGCACTAGACTGCAGACCACAAGGTTGGTGGTTTGAGCCCATCAGCCTCTCTAAGGGAGACTGATGAGGCTTTTTGCTCCCACAAAGATTTATAGCCTCGGAAATGCTATACGCATCTCTATGAATTGGAACAGACTACATGGCTCTAACAACAACATAGCTTTATTGTTGTTGTTAAGCACTGTTGAGTCAGATCTGACTCATAGCGACCCTGTATAGGGTTTCCGAGGAGCAGCTGGTGAGCTTGAACTGCTGACCTTGCAGTCCAGCGTATCAATCCACAGTGCCTTGTGAGGACTAAATAAAATAATGCCTGTGTTACCACCATGCCTGGAACAAGGTAAGTGCTTAAAAGGTAGCTACTGTCATAATTCTTTTCCTTTTTATGAGCACATCATAGAAGGGGTCTCTTGCTCCATCTTTCTTATCTTTCCTTTGTCGTTTTTAGAATGAAACCTTTTCTCTGTCACTTCTTCAGACCACCCCCTCACTTCTGTGTCTGAATTCATCCTGGGGAGCAGTAGAAAATGGAGAGTCAATGGAAAATGAGTCTCTGGGCTAGAGAGTCCTATGTCCTAGAGGCTGACCCATCTCTGGAGTGATTTCATTCACGAAGGGGACTGCTGATTCTTCTACTGATTCTTCTACACCACCTTCCAGGGAATCCCTGTTGCTGTTTTCTTTGCCCCTCCAAACCCACCCTCCAGTCAGCTACACAACTCTCTGAACTCTTGTTATCTGGCTTTCTTGTATCCCACCATGCACTTTTCGTTTCATTAGGAGCACAACCGAGGAATCCATGTGGCCCTGAATCCTCCTCTTTGCCTGTGACCAACCAGGAGATCCCCTCCTTCCCCGGCCCAACACACACAGCCCACAACCCTGCCTTAACCCTTATCCAGGACTGGAGCTGTCACCTCTCTGGGCTCCCATCCTCGTGTCGCCCTTGCCTCTATCCTCCAGAGTTCTATTCCTGCCCTATCCTTCAGGGTCTCCTAGGGTATTGACCCAGCAACCTCAGAAGAATCTTCCTGCCCCGCCCCCAGGAGAGCGCCTGCTCTAAACCGGAGGACATTCTAGACATCCCGTTGGACGATCCCGGTGCCAATGCAGCTGCTGCCAAAATCCAGGCGAGTTTCCGGGGCCACATGGCGCGGAAGAAGATAAAGAGTGGAGAGCGCGGCCTCAAAGGTCCCGGTCCAGGGGTGCCAGGCGGAGCTGGGGGCGCCCGGGGAGGCGCGGGCGGCGGCCCCAGCGGAGACTAGGCCAGGAGAGGTAAGCTCTGCGGGTCGGGAAGCTCTCAGGTCCCATCACCAGGGACCTGCAAGAGCTGCTCCGCTTGTCTCCAGCAAAGGAGCAAGGGATGATTAAGGGCAGGGTGGGTTGGTGGGGTGCAGAAGAGAAGTAGGAGCAGCTAAAGCGGGGAGGGGCAGATATCCAAGTCATGGGTGGGCGAATGGAGGAGGCTGGGGTACTGCAGGTTCCTAGAGCTCACCTGTTTCTCTCTCCAACTACCCACCCCCCCACATACTTCTGCCATCCGGACTGAAGAAGAACTGAGTGTTTTCTAAGGTAAAGTTACAACCCAGAATGGCATTATGAAACCCAGAGTGGGAGAAAAGAACCACATACCCCAGTCAGTCGCTTTCACCCCTTCCTATCCTGGGGAAAATTTACTCTTCGCCTGCGGGTTTTTTAACAGGCCAAGGTGCCTAAGCCTGCAACCCGGATATACACCTAGACTGATACAGATATACAATCACTCCCATTTGGCTGCGCTAATCCAGTCGAGAGCCAACAAACACACTGCTGCATACACACATATCTGCCTGGCGGTTCATTTCAGCTCAGTGACCTTGGGTGGGAGTTTTGGGTGATGGGCCTTTGGGTGTTCCCTACCCTGGTGCCCTGGCTCTGGAAAAGAGGTGTGTGGGTCCAGGGAAAGGGCAGGTTCTCAGACCGTCTGTCTCCTCAGGTCAGGAGGAGAGATGGATGCCGCGTCCCCTTCGCAGTGACAAGTCTTACCTGCAGTGTTTGTGAACCCCTCCTTCCCACCAACCCGCCAGCTTCAAGAAACTCCCCTGCGTCTCCAGACTCTTCCCAGACAGGCTCCGTTGCGGAGTCGCCAAGTCCGTTCCCCCATCTAGTATGGTCCCCATTCGCCCATCCGCGCTACCCTACCTACACTCCAATCTCACTCTCCCAGATCTTCCTTTTGCTTCTCTCGTACCTCTCTGGGCGTTCAGCATGCGGTTCTGCCTCCGCAGCCTCTGTGCACTTCCCTGTGTGCGCTACGGAGGGCGCCCTAAGCGTAGTCAAGCAACTCACTTAAAAAAAAAAAAAAGTCCCTTTGTTCAGTGCGCAGCTAAAGGGTGCATCCTGCTTCTCTGTTTTGTTTCTGCCCCCATCGTAGCCTTAGAGAATTGAATCTGTGGTGAGGAGGGAAAAGAGAGCTTTTATGGTGTCTGATACCCCCTGCTCTGTACAGAAAGGAAATTCCTATTTCACATCCCAGTCTCACGCCTGCCAGTAATCTGCCTTCCCCTCTCTCCAGCGCACCCCTGAGAGCCGCCTGTCCAGCTCTCTTAATGTAAACGCTGCGCGTTGGGGAGGCTCCGTAGGAGGAGTCGGGTTGAGGCCACGCCCCGGCCCCAACAAGCACGGGCCCCGCGGGGCTCCTGGGGTTATAGCCAGAAAGTTTTTAATCTCCGTGTGTGCATGTGATCTTGCCGACTTGGAATGTGAACAATAAAGAAGAATGTCCAAGTGTTCAGAGGGTGCCAGGTGTACAGGGCCAGTGCTTGGTGCTTCAAGTTTCATCTGAGCAGACCAAAAAGCTGGAGTGGTGTGGGGATTCCCGGAAACCAGAATTTAAACCCTTTGACCATTGACCCCATCAGACCTCTTGCCTACATCATCATCTCTCAGTCTTTAAGCTCTTACTTTCCTTTACTGGTAAATAAGGTTTTGTTTGCCTAGAGGAATTCTGTTTACCTGCAGAAAGAAGGACACAATATGGCACCAGAAGGCTTTAAGTATTGATATTTTACCCCCTAATCCCTTCCTCCCTTGTCCACCATCTCCCCTTCCTATTCCCCTACCCCTACCCCAGGGATCAGGAGGGAAGTCAGATGACCATAGGGCGCTTGGATCTGGTGGTCTTCACAGTGCTAGTGAATGGAGCACTCTTGAGGAGCCCATTGCTACAATCAGTCCTCACAGAAGTCTGCTGAGAAATCCCAGGAGCAAAGGCATCCTCCCTGATGGACAGAGGCAAATTCTTAGTGAAGGCCAGAGTATACCTCAAAGGACATTAACCTCTGGCCCAGGGGCTTTCCATTTACTGTGCATGAGAATCATCTTGGTAGAACTTGGTTAACATGAAGACTCTAGGGCCCTGTCATCACCTCCACCCCCAACCATACACATAGGCTCATATTCTGCTTTAGGAGCGATAGGATGTGACCTCTGACGTGCTTCTAGTGATTTTGTACAGGCTATTTGAAGATAAAACTTTGAGAAACACTGTTCTGAATACTATTCTGAGCCCCAGGACTAGCCACTAAAGTCGATGATGGAGGCAGCTTTCATCTCTTTTTTCCTCACTGCCCCTACAAAAGAACTAAATTCAGCTGAACACTGAACAAATTCAGCTCCTGGCATCTACCTTCCACCACTAGTCCAAAGCTGCAATGGATGTGAAACTGCAAAGCAAACATTTAAAATTTTTTAAATAGGAGGGTCAGGGCAGTCCTGTAAAGTGAATAATCCTTGCCTCTCCACCCTGTACTCCTTGCTCACACATTCAAATAAATAGGCCATACCACCACCGTCAAACCCCAGAGCTAAGCAACATTTGTTGTTGTTAAATGCCATCTTAGTCCATTCCGACCCAGAGCAACCCTGTATAGGGTTTACAAGGAGCCGCTGGTGAGCTTGAACCACCTACCTTGCAGGTCAAATGACTTTGCAGTCTGACGCATTAGCCCACAGCGCCACACCAGCAGCATTGGTGGTGGTGGTTATGTGCCGTGGTGTCAGTTCCAACTCATAGCGATCCTGTACAGGGTTTCCAAAGCTTCATCTTCTGCGGAACAGCTGGTAGTTTTGAACTGTTGACCTTAAGGTTCGCAGCCTGATTCATAACCACTACGCTACCAGAACACCTTATGTACCCTTAAACATTCCTAAAGACTTAAATGTATTTGAGGGTTAAAGGCACCTACTTAACCCAAGCCTTCTCCTCCCTTTGCACAACCCTGTCCCAGCCTTCTTGCTCACCGGAGGTCACTGCCCCCATATGTCTCCTTGGAGCTCTTCCTTCTCTCCTGGAGCCTGATAAGACAAAATGCAGCAACTGACAGGAACAGCATGCCCAGGAGCACCCCAATCATAGCTCCAGCCACTCGGCCTTTAGAGGGGTCTAAGGAGAGACAGGATTCTCAAAGTGGCTGGCCTTTCTTGGGCCCTCCTCAGATAAATTCATACAGTCTCCCCAATCCAAGCCTGTCAGCCTGGCTTCTGCCCACAGTTCCTTACCAGTCACAGAGAGGTTCAGCTCACAGGCTGCACTGCCCAACTGGTTGGTGACCATACAACGATAAGTGCCGGCAGAGGTCAGGGAGAGATTGGTGAGAATTAACTGAGCAGATACCTCATCTACAGGGTGAAGAGGAAATGTTCTGTCACTCCTTCAATGAAGTGAGCACCTACTATAAGTAAAAAGTAATTCATTTAACTCTTACAAATCCTGACAAGTAATTAATCTTATTTTATTGATGGGGAAATTGGCACATAGAAGGGAATTTATTTGTCTGAGATGACACAGACAGAAAGAGTCAAAGCCACTTTGTGATCCTGGTGTGTTGCCGTAAGGATAAGCAATCACAAGGTCGTGTGAACTGCAAGGTCAGCTGTTCAAACTCATCAGCTGCTCCTCAGAAACTCTATACAGGGTCCCTATGAGTCAGAACTGACCAACAACATACAGCTGCATTGGGAGAATGAGTTCTGCATGCACATGAAGGGTTGAAGGTGAGTGCTAACTGACTAGTTGTGATAGGCTTGATTGCTAAAAGCAGCGTCCCTTGGGGTAGTTCTAAACTGATCCAAACACTTTTCTAAAACCTTACCTTTAGTAGGCCAAACACAATGCTGTGGGTGGGGAGAGAAGGTTTTAGAAAGTGTAGGGGAGAGATGGGATGGTCCTGGGTTGATAAAAGGTTTGCTGGGGTTGAGACAGAGTACAGGGTAACTGAAGCCAACCAATGAAAACAAAGCCATGGCATGTAGCTAGTTATATTAGTATGGTTCCTTAAACTAGGGAAATGATTCAAAACAGTCCATGCTACTATATTGGGTTCATTTCTAGGAAGTCTGAAAGGATTCATGACCCTAGGAAATCTCCCAAAAGCAGACTAGTGGGAATTATTTGAATTCCACTATCCCAGGATGTCAGGAGTATTTTTAGGTTAAGAAATGCTTCCAAATTAGCCAGCCACAGAATGTGCAGAAAGAAACAGGAAAGGACAATAAAGAAATCACGGAAGAGGCAGGAAAAGAAGTTTGTTTCATATTCTCTATCATAGAATTGGTAGTGTGGCGTTCAATTTGCCCAGATCTTGAATCCCTGGGTCCATACCTTGCACCATGCTCCCGAGTGAACGCGTAGAAGATCCAAGACGCTCCCAGTTGTACGCAGGCCTGGGCACTCCCTTGGAAGAGCTGCATCTCAGTGCAGCAGAGCCTCCCACAGAGGTTTGACCACTCTGAGTGCACAAGGGGCTGCTGGGGGGCACTGCAATGGGAATCACAGGAAGTACCTTAGCAGTCTTCTAATCCAGCTCCCATTAAGTGCTGGTGTTTCTGCTTCAATGTCCCTACCAAATAGTGGTTCTTTTCTGCTCAGGTGGCACAACAGTTAAGTATTTGGCTGCTAAATAGTTGGAGGTTCAAATTCAAGTCACCCACAGGTACCATGGCGTAAGGACCTAGCAATCTGCTTCCTAAAAATCAGCCAGTGAAATCCTATGAAATATAGTTCTACTTTGACAACATGAGGACAGCAACTGGTTTGATTGTTTTCTGTCCACTCTATAGTCCCAAGAAGTGACTTCCACTGGTGAAAATTCTGATTGCTAGAAAATTCTTCCTCATGTTGAGCCAAAATCTATGTTAATATCCCAGTTCCTGACTCTGCTCCCAAAGAGAACTTACACCTCCATTATGTGACTGTCCTTCAGATATTTGATTACAGTGGTCATATACTACTTCCTTGCTCATCTTTAAGTAAGCTGTGGTGCTGTGGGTTAATGCACTGGACTACAAAGTCGTCTGAACCACAAAGGTCGGTGGTTCAAGCTCACCAGCCGCTCCTTGGAAACCCTATACAGAGTTGCTATGAGTTGGAAACAACTCGACAGTACTTAACAAGTCAGAACTGACTTAATGAGTTTGGGGCAAGATAGAAGTTCTGAACCAACTGCTCAGTAAATTTGTTCCTTTAATGGCCACTCCCTTTTTCTGCCATTTACCTTGGAAGGGACACAGTCTGAGCTATGAATGTGAGGTTCCCTGTGGACAAGAATGGAGTTGGTGGGAACCTGACTCAGATCCCTATGTGTAGGAAAGGACTTTCCGTTTCAGACCCTTTGTTACCAGCCCTGAGAAAGGATGCATTCTTTGTGCAGGGTGGAACTGGAGTGTGACCACCAAGATTGGAAGACTTTGAGAAGGGGGCATTTTCCTTTGGAGTTCCTAATGGAGTTGTATGTTAGGTTTGGATTTAGGATGTGGGGAAATTTAACACGGCCAGAGTACAATGGGTGGCTAGTGGGTCCCCGGCCAGCCTTACCTAGCACAGTAAAGTTGATTAGCCCCAGCCCGTTGGTGTAGAAATCTGGGGGGTTATTAACTTGGCAGAGGTAGGTTCCAGTATCCGAGGGGTGGACATCACTCAGTTTCAAGGTGGCCACCCCTCTTGTGGGAGGGTTCTGAAGCAGGCTGGCCCGATTTGCCATAGAACCAACTGGATATAGATGACCATTGGTGAAGTACAGGATCTAGGAATAGGCAAATGATACACGTGTGATTTTTTTTCTGCTTGGCATCAACTCTATAATCCATCATAAAATATAAAAAAATATATAAATAGGAGGCCCAGGGAAACTAATACACTAATAATAAAAACCTCTGTCCCCAATACCATCCTCTTTCAGATGCTAATTGAACCAGATTCACTGCTTTCAGCTGAACATGGAGTTCTCTATTTGTAAATTATAATATTAATAGAAGGAATAGCATATTGTCACATTAACTGAAACTGGGACTATACTAACATAGGAAAGTTAGATATACAGCTATGGGAGAAGAATAGGTAATACAAAATGAAACAGACTGCAGCTCTGAGAAGATCTAAGAGTTCACTTATCTTTCATACAAGCATATTGATCCCTAAACGCCTGCTCCTGACTCTGGGTGCAGCGTTCCTGCCTCTCTGGGCCAACTCCTAAAACAGGTGAGAGGAGAGCCCCAACTCAAACGCAGTTGCTCTCGGCTCACAGGATGGGATGCAGAGATGGGTTTCCCAGGCTGGACAAAGCTCCACTCCAAGGCGAAATTGTCTCCCACCAAAGTGCTGTAGCTGCAGGTCAGCTCGGCAGTCTTGCCAACAGGCGTGCTCAGGGGCTCAGCAGGCACCTTCACCTCCACCGCCAGTCCAGGAACTGGGGAAACAAAGGAAGACCAGCGAAAGGGAACGTTCGGGCGGGCGACTCCCTGAAAGTGGTTGGGTGGGAGCGGAGGCCGGATCTTGAGGTTACAACCTAATTCATTGCTTCTACACCAGAGGCTGGGGTCCTGCCATAGAGTGCAGAAACCCTCCCTTGAATCTTTTTTTCTCCTCCTGGAGAGAGGAGCCTGGCCGAGTTTTTTGTGGATGAAAGGACCAGGAGCTAGACTCAACCAGATATGAGAGTGTGTTTGTTAGGACAAGGAAAACAACAGTCCTGCGTTGTTAATCCACGGCTGTGAGAGACCAAATTTGCTTGCCAGCCCGCGCGCCCCTCTCCCTCACCGCCACCCCTGAGCCACAGCGCCCCTGGCGGCTGACTGACGCAGGCCCCAAGGAGCTCAGAGAAGCACAGTCTCGGTTTACAGCTCTCAACCAAGGTTCTGCCCTCGCCCCTCTCCTCACCGTGAATGGAGACGAAGCCCAGCAGAGCTCCAAAGAGGACAGAACCTAGGAGCCCGACCATGACTGAGAGAGACCTGTCCTGCAGTCTGAAGGGAGGGTCCAAAAGGCAGCAAACTCTTGCTGGTCAAGAGTGAAACTGGCTATCTCAGAGCAAACAAGGGGAGAGGCCCGCACCCTTGGTTAAAGAAATAAATGTTCCTCCCTCCTTGAGGCTCATTTCTGAATTTACTCTAACCCTGCTTCTCCTTGCTTTCTTCCTCTCAAGCTGTCAGGCCTTGGATAAGGAGTAGGCTTGGGTTGGTCACCCTGAGGGGAAAGGTCCAGAACTGGAGCTCTGGGGGGAAAGTGACTCTGAGAAAGAGGCATACTCAAGCTCCGTAAGAAAGGACACCTTGCTGTTTAGAGCAAGCGGGCTGTGAAGATAGGCCTGGCCATCTGTCTCTGAAAGATCATAAACAGCCTTAAAAACCCTATGAAGAAGTACTAGTCTTAGCACATGGATGGGTTTCCATGAGTGGGAATCAACTGGATGACAACTAACAACAGGATATTCCTCCACCTTTCCATTTACCAGCAAATACCCCTTTTAAAGACTAGAAAAACAGTTCTGAGCTAGGAAGCCCAGAAATTGGGAGGAGAAGCCCTTCTGTGTACACATTTGGGTAGAGGGCCATTTTGCATCTTCTTTAATGTCAACTTCTTGGAATTCCAAGCTTGAAAAGGCAATTTGACTCTCGCTTTCCATAAAAACACAGTTTATTGATGTTTACAAAAACAAAAACACATGCAGGTTAGTTTTTTTAAAATATCCTCCCTATCCCCTACCCAATAAAAACCCAAACAGGACAGTGTATATTAATGCAGGGAACTGGAATGAAGGTAGAAGATGACATTAGATAACGGTGAGGGACAGAGCAGGAAAGCCTAAAGAAGTCATTGACAATTCCCACTAGGGCCTTGGTGGTGGTGGTGGTGGTATGCCATGGAGTCGCTTCTGACCCATAGCAACCCCATATAGGGTTCTGAGGCTGTAAATCTTTACAGGAGCAGAAAACCTCATCTCTCTCCCACACCAAGCCCTTGGGGAATAACCAATCTCATCAGCATTCAGCTGCATTCATTGGGTGGGGTGGTAAGAGGGTGGAGGCTCTTCCTAATCCAAGGTCGGAACCTCTTCTTCTTTTACCTCCTAGAAGTTAGAGTCTTACTGAGTCTCAGGTTTCCCATAAAGAGAGGTGGGGACAGAGGATTGTTGGTTTAGAATATGTCGCCCTCCCAAGATTCAGGCCTCTGTGCTAGGAGTGACCCCAAAAGGAAGGAGAGAAACCAGATGGCTTAGTCAATGAGTGGTTGGGCCATCACACCAGAGACCCAGTCTGACTCTGGGCAGGCATCATAATGGGCACAGCACCCATGCGGCTCAGTGCAGAGGAAGAAACCCCACCAGGGTTGGATGCTATTGGCTGAGAATGGTCCTCATCTGTCCTGGGCAGCCTTGGTGAAGGTAGGGCTTGGGTGTAGAGGTTGGGTGTGGGAGTTAATGTGCCAGGTCTTGGAAGGCCTTGAGATCGTCGGAGGGCTCGTGCTGAGGTGACAGAAGAAAGAGTCCCATTCTTGGAGATTGTATCTGAGCCCTTGGGCCAAGGCAGGGTCCGGGGAGCGATGGCATCCTCCCTAATAATCAAAGAAGTAATATGAAGTCAGAAGGTGGGATGTTTCTACATGCTTTGTCTTACCATCCCTCACATATACACCTCACTTTAACCATCCTCTAGCTCTGGTAGTGTAGTGGTCACAAACAGGGCTGCTAACCTCAAAGTCAGCTGTTTGAAATTATCACCTATTCTGAAAGAGAAAGATGAGGCTATCTGCTCCTGTAAAGATTTACAGCCTCAGAAACCCTATATAGGGTTGCTATGAATCAGAACCAACTCTATGGCTCACAACCACCACCACCACCTCTTAAAACCTGTCCAGAGGAATCAAATTGAAACTTTTCCATTAGACAGGAGCTGCCTGAATTCTTAAGGAGCTCTGGTAGCGTAGTGGTTACGAATCGGGCTGCAAACCGCAAGGTCAGCAGTTCTAAACTACCAGCTGCTCCGTGGGAGAAAGATGAGGCGTTCTGCTCCCGTAAAGATTAACAGCCTTGGAAACCCTGTGCAGGGTCGCTATGAGTCGGAACCAACTCCACGGCACACAACAACAACATAAATCAAACTAGGAGAGCCCCCATCATGGCAGAGATGAGGGATACTTACTTGATATCATTGGCTGGCTCCTCTAGGGCCTTGCTCCAACGTTGGTACAAGAGGAACAGCCCAACCAGCAGTCCCAATCCAACCAGAGTGCCCACAACAGCTCCAGCAACCACTACAGGCCCAGGCCCTGGAAAATCCTCGGTGTCAGAGAGAACAGCTAACTGTTCCCATCCCTCTCCATCCCAGTATACCCACTGCCACCATAAAGTCTCTTCCTCCCTGTTAAGACAAGGTCGATCAGAAAATGGTCAGTTACCATTTGTGCCAAACATTTGTACAAGCTCCCCATCCTGTTAATAACCAGAGGCCTCACAAAACAGGTTACCTCCCTTCTATTATAGCACCCCACCCCCATTCATCACTCTTCTTATCCACACTTACCCCTCTCACTGACCTGTGCTCACTTCCAGGGTGACGTTGCACTGGGCACTGCCTGCCTTATTATGGGCTGTGCAGACATAGACTCCAGACATGGAAACGGACAGGTTTGTAAGACTTAAGGACCCACGGATAACATCTGTAGACACAATTTAGTGCTCAGGTCAGAGACCATCTTTAACACAGAGAGAGAGAGACACACACACACACATAAACCAAACCCCATACACAGAAAATCCTGCTTCTCTTCTAGAATGTCCTCTTCTACCTCTCTGGGAGGTTCCTTGATGGAAGGAATGGGTGTGACAGCCAGCATACTGAGTTCTCTCAGCTGCAAAACTGCTAGCTCAAAACCCTTTTCCACTTCCACTCCTTAGTTCCCCCACAACTGATATCTGAAAGGAGGCTAAATAGGAAGTGATGCACAGAAAAAGCAAAACACTATTTTTGCTTTCATTTCTGGAAGGTAGTGTGGTGAGAAAGAAAGAACATTGGACTAGGAATTAGAAAACCTGGATTCCAGAATAGACCATGTGACTTTTAGCAAGTTATTTGACATGTCTGGATCTCCATTTCTTCATCTATAAAATAGGGGTAACATGACCTCCTTGATTGTATTAGAAGGATTCAATTAATTAGTTACTATAAAGTTAATATTTATTGGCTATTTATGAAAAAATCCCACCAGCAGCTCCATGGGAGAAAGTTGAGGCTTTATACTTCCACAAAGATTTTTTAAAGCCTTAGAAACCCTATATGGGGCTGCTATGAGTCATAACCAACTTTATGGCACTTAACAACAACGTACTAAAATTTCACAACAAACATATGAGGTAAGTACTGTTAAAATAATTTTGTTATAAAAATGGTCAAATGAAAACTATATACATACCACTTGGATCTGCCAATTGTTAACATTTTGCCATACTTTATCTATCTATCTATCTATCTATCTATCTATCTATCTATCTATCTATCTATCTATCTATCTAAACTACCAGTCGTTCTTCAAGAGAAAGATGAGGCTTTCTGCTCCCGTAAAGATTTACAGCCTCGGAAACCCCAAACAGGGTTGCTATGTGTCGGAACCAACTCCAGGCACATAACCACCAGGATCACCATCACATCTATTGCTCTATCTATCTATCTATCTAATCTCTCCAATATATCCAAGTAAATATTTCAGCATGAATTTTCAAGATATTAAGGACATTATCCCACATAACAACAATTACCGTTACCATGCCTAACAAATTAATAATAGTTCTTGAAAGCATTTAATCCACAATCCATATTAAACATGGTCCTATTGTTTGCAAAATGTCTTTCATAGCTGGTGTGTTCAAACTGGGGCTATTGATAACTTCATTTTACAAACCAGGAAACAGAGGCACAAAATCACACAGTTAGTGAGTGGTCAAACTGGAATTTGAATGCAGTAATCCAGAGCCATTGAAGAGCAAAGAGGTCAGCTTGAGGACTAAGGTATGCCTGACCCAAGTCATGGTATTTTCAATAACCTCATATGCATGTGAAAGCTGGACAGTAAATAAGGAAGACTGTAGAAGAATTGATGCCTTTGAGTTATGGTGTTAGTGGAGAATATTGAAAGTGCCATGGGCTACCAAAAGAACCAACATATCCATGTTGGAAGAAGTGCAGCCAGAGTGCTCCTTGGACATATTGTCAGGAGGGACCAGTCTCTGGAGAAGGATATCATGTTTGGTAGGGTGGAGGGTCAGAGAAAAAGAGGAAGACCCCAAATGGGATGTATTGGCCAGGTGGCAGCATGGATAGACCCAATGTGGCAACAATAGTTAGGTTGGCCCAGGATTGGGCAGTGTTTTGTTCTGCTGTGCATAGGGTTGCTATGAGTCTGTACCAACTCGATGGCACCTAACAACAACAATCCAGAGCCACTAGGTCATAGGAGCTTTCTAGTAAGGTAAGAATACAGTGAGGACATTTGTTTGCATCTGATAGGTCCCCTTTCTCCTCTCCCCTCCTCACATCATCCTCACCCTGCCATTCCCGCAATATTTTTCAGTATTCACTTCCCTTTCCACTCCAGTCCCTCTGGCACGTCTCATCTTTTCCCTTCCCCAGCCACAGTTCTCTCACCTAAAATGGGTGCAAAAAAAACCTGGGAGGATGGAGGCAGCCGCTCCCACTGGTATTGAGCAGCAGGCTTACTCCTTGGAGACTGGCAGCTCAAGGTCACGTTGCTCCCCACACGGGGCAAGCCCAGGAGATGGCAGGATGGAGGAGCTGGAGGAACTGGGGGAGAAGAGACAGAATAAAAACATACCCCAAGGAATCAATAGAACTTCTCGCCCCTACTCCTTTCCCCTCAACCCACATATTCTCTTTTGTGGCTGCATTTGTCCTCCTCCAATCCTTACCATTAGCCATTTGGAAGAGAGATCTGACTGACCTTTCCTGTGATGGGGGAATTAGAAAGTGTGTGCTTCTCACTTACCCAACACATTGAGTTCTAAACTTGTGCTGCTGTGGCCCCTACTTAAGAGTTGACCCTCATACACATTCACAGAACAACGGTAAGACCCAGAATCTTCTTCTTGGAGGTCCAGCAGACGAAGAGACACATTCCGAGAGGGCATGGAGTAGACCAGAGATGCTCGAGGAATGCTTGACAGGACCCCATTGTTGTATGCCAACACCTGGTATAGGACATAACACTTCTCTATTATTACATGCATCCACTGTACCCACAGGCTTAGCTAACCCTCTTTCCTTAAATTGGCATTCTGCAGATATCCTTCACTTGCGTCCATCCCTTTTAAACTGTACCAATGCCCACTCCAGCCCCCATCTCATCACCCCTGAGTCCCTTTCACCAGAATAGTTCTTGTTCCCCTATACATCATCTCTTCAGTTCCTAATTAAGGTGTTTAGAAAGGTGACATATGGGGAAGGAGAACTATTGTAAATAGGAGGCTGTATAGATTGCAGGGATAGACACAGGTTTTGGGTTTTGTAGAGCCTGAAATTTATACAGTAGGGAGACCTTTAAAACAAGATGAATTTTATTTTATTTTATTTACAAAAACGAATGACTATGTGAACACATTTTCCAGGACCTTAAAAGGAGCCCATGTACATGAGGAACTCTGAAAATGAAGTATAATTTACTTCTAGGTATGTCTGCTGTGATGAGAGAGGGCAGCTTGTGGAAAGTGAGAAGGGAAAGGCAACATACAGTAATCATCTGAAAAGTAGCCTATGACTGACAATCAGGGGCAGATTACTAAGTAAACACAAGCCAGCCTGTGCTTACCTTGCTTACTTAGTAATCTGACACTGCTGACAGTATGCAAACACAGAAATATGAAGACAGAAAGATGCTCAGTTTTTAAAAGTTATGTAACTTGCCCTAAAACTTCCCCTTTCCTCAATCCCCCAACTCCCAACACCCATTTTAAAATAAACTGTTTCTCCAGTTCCACTGTTTTGTGTGCTGGATTTGTAGAGAAAGTTGGGTGAAAGAGAATACTTGAGGAAGCGGAACAAAAACGGAACCGGTGAGGACACTTGGCTTTTCCCTAAAACTCTTTCTTCCCAGCTCCTCCCCACTAAATTGCCAGCTTTTTCCCATGCGCCCTCACTGGGCACAGCTAGTCACAGATGGAGTGCTTTTCTTCCTCACCTGTTTCAGATCCTTCCCTTCCTGTTCCAAGAACCAGATCACCAAAGGCACCTCCCCTGGCTGAGCCAAAGGCAACTCCCCTTTCAGGGTATACCACGCCGGCAGCACCACTTGCGCTCCCTCTACCGCCTGCAACCTGGAGAGGCCCGCCGGCACCTGCAACTGCAGCTGGGCCCGCGAAGGAGTCGCTGGGGAGAAGAAAGGCGTGAGCTCAGAAGGCTGGTTCCCTGCTCCTGTGAACCCCACCTACTGTGACCGTTGGAGAGGGTCTTGACAATCGCTCAAACATGGAGGAGGAACCTCAACAAGCCCCACCATTGGAGGCCTCCCGATTCATCAGGGACCACTGACTCAGTAACCTGCTTTCCATTTCACCAGGTGGGTTTGTAGCGGGATAAGGACCCCTTCTATTCATTTATTTTTATCCAGAGATTTCTGGGCACCAAAAAGAGGGGGCGGATGCCTGGAGGGGTGGGAAAGAGATCCAGCAGGAAGGGTAGATTTATTACTTTTGACCTCCATTATTCCAGAAGTCTTGGTGTGGTGCTATAGGATAAGCGCTGGATGACTAACCACAAAGTTGATTGTTCAAACTCACCAGCTGCTCCTCAGAAACCCTATACAGAGTCACTATGAGTCCGAACCAACTCAATGGCACTTAACAACAACACTCTAGAAGAGGACATGGAACTTGGGATATCATTGCTCATGTCAGTTAGATCTTGGTTGAAAGCACAGAATACCAGAAAGATTTTTACTTTTGTTTTATTGATTATGCAAAGGCATTCAGCTGTGTGGGTCATAACTATGATAACATTGTGAAGAAGGGGAATTCCAGAACACTTCATTGTGCTCATGCAGAATTGTATATGTGTATATATATTAAGGTGTGATGCTGTAGGATAAGCATTCGACCATAAGGTCATTTTGAACTACAAATTTGGTGATTCAAACTCAACAGCCACTCCTCAGAAATCCTATACAGGGTTGCTATGAGTCAGAACCTACTTAAGGCACTTAACAACAACAGCAACATATAGACCAAGGAGTCCTGGTGTGACACTGTGGGTTAATGCCACTGGACTGAAAAGTCAGTTTGAACCACAAGGTCCTCAGTTCAAGCTCACCAGTTGCTCCTCAGAAACAGGGTCGCTATGGGTTGGAACCGACTCAACAGCACTTAACAACATACAAATCAAGAGGTAGTTTTACAATCAGGAAAGGTGTGCATCAAGTTCTCATCACACTTATTCAATCTGTATGCTGAAGCCGGACTTCATGAAGAAGAACACAGCAGCATCAGGATTGGAGAAATGCTCATTAACAACCTGCAATATGCAGATGACAGAACCTTGCTCACTGAAATGGAAGAGGTCTTGAAGCACTAATTAATGAAGATCAAAGAATACAGCCTTCTGTATAGACTACAGTTTGATGTAAAGAAAACAAAATGCCTTGCAACTGAATCAATATACAACATCATGATCAGTGGAGAAAAGAATGAACTTGCCAAGGATTTCATTTTACTTGGATGCACAATCAGCGCTCATGGAAGCCACAATCAGAGTCAAACAAAGACCTCTTTAATGTGTTAAAGAACAAAGGTGTCACCTTGAGAACTAAGGTGTTCCTGACCCAAACCACAATATATTCAATTGTCTCATATGCATGTGAAAGTTGGGCAATGTATAAAGAAGACCAAAGAAGAACTGAATTATGGTGTTGGAGAAGAACATTAAAGCATTGTCATGAACTGCCAGAACAACAAACAAATTCATCTTGGAAGAAGTACAATCAGGCTGCCCCTCAGAAGTGAAGATGGTATGACTTTGAATATGTTATCTGGAGGGACTAGTCCCTGGAAAAAGACATCATGCTTGGTAAAGTAGAGGGTCAAGGAAGAAGGGGAAGACCCCCCAAAAAGTGGACTAACAACACAGTAGCTGCAACAAGATTCAAACATAACAATTTTGAGGATGACACAGGACCTGGCAGTGTTTTGCTCTGCTGTGCATAGGGTTGCTATGAGTCGGAGCTGACTAAAGGGCACCTAACAATAGCAACATTTGTAGCCTGCTTACACCTCCAATTTTTCTAGTCAAGAGGGAGTAGTAACTTTAGTTGGAGTTCCCATAGTTCCTCACTCCTTCATGCTTGCCTGGATGGGCAGAGAATGTTGGGAGGCCACTGGGTTACTGATTAACTCCGTGGTCCTTCTGAAATGCCTGAGCAAGAAAGAGGGCAGTGGCTCAGTGCCCAGGCCTTGCCTGGTACTACAGTGCTTCCAGGCTTCTGCTCAGTCCCAGTGGGTAGGCTTCTTCAGGAAGGCAGGGGGTTGAGACCCAGAAAGTTCCCAAGGACATTGTAGGATCCAGGAGATCTGGGTGGGGCCTTTCTGGGTTCTAGTAAATACAGGGACAGACAGAGCTAGGACCTGAAGGACGTCTCTTGACAATCAATTACAAACCTTTCTCAGTGTACATCCAGGGTTCAGAGGTGGACTGGGTGTTAGTTTCAAGAGGGGAGTGTACTCAATCAATGCTTTCATCATGGTATCTAAGGCACTCAATTTTTGATGTTCAGAGAGGGGATGGCATGTTAAGCCCTGTGTGGAATAAAGTTGGGATTGTACCTGGCTAGGCCTAAGGATGGTGTTCTGGTATGGTGCTATGAGATAATGCACTGGACTGCAAGGTTGGCAGTTCAAATTCACCAGCTGCTCCTCAGAAACCCAATTCAGGGTCACTGTAACGTCAGAACTGATTCAAGATCATTTAATAACAAGAAGTCTGAGGATGTTGGACTTCTACCCCTTAGCCTGCTCTTCCTTGTCCTCGGCACTAGGGTATGAAACACCATCACCCCGTGGGGAACAGGTGGCCATCTTTCAGGCACAGGCTGTTGACATACCTAACTCTCCTCCCTCCTAGTCCACAGCTGAAGACCTTCTTGGGTCAGGAAGCTGATCCCTGCCAGGATGTGCGTCACCCCCACCACTTTCCGGGTGCGTGTCTTTACAAAGCTCCATCTCTATTCCTTGGCTTGTGCAGCACGCCCTTTCCCATTTCCTAGCTAGTCCCTGTAGACTGGGCAGGAAACTTGTGCCTGTTGATAAGCCAGAAGACAATGAAGGGGGGAGGGTGCTAGACCGGAGACTCTCCAGGCGAAAACAACCCTCCCCTCAAGGAGTTTGATACCCTCTCAGAATTCTAGCCATTTGGCACTTCCCTGCCAGCAATGTTGGCTTTCCAGGACCTTTCTGCAGCATTCCATCCCAGTGCCCAGAAACTTCAGGTAGAGAAAGCTGCCTGGTCCTAGCAGTGAGCATTTCCTTTGCATAGGTACCCTTAGCAGTCTCCCTGAGGTCCTGCATTTATAATTTCACTTTGCAAAACCTAGCACCAAAAAACAGACCTGCTTCCATGGTGTAGATTCCGACTTTCAGCAATCCTATAGGGCATAGTAGAACTGCTCCATAGAGTTTCAGAGACTTTAAATCTTTAAGGGAGCAGACAAGCTCATCTTTTCCTGGGGGAGTGGTGGGTGGCTTTGAATTGCTGACCTTGCAGTTAGCAACCCAATGATTAACCCACTGTATCACCAGGGTTCCTTGCACATTGATAGCACTGGATACACTATTGGCAAATACTCTCTGCCCCAAACCTGCAGTTAGAAACTGGAAGATACTGGGGAGACCCCCAAAATTTACCACCCTCTGTCCTGGATGTATGCTGGAGGGGAAGCTCCCCAACTTGTCAACAGTTTTTGCTTTTAGGATCCATGGTGGCCATCGAGAGAGAAAAATAGGTTGCTTGGGTGTGATTGAAGGAGACAGGAGCAGCCCAAGAAAAGGAGTCTTCTGGCCAGCTGAGATCAGAATGAGGGAACAGGCAAAGGCCTATGGAGAACAAAAATGGGCGGGCTCCCCAAGGTTCCTATTTTTAGTCTCCCTCTTTCTCTGAGAAACTCCCCTAGCGGCCTTCTCACGCTCCAGGGGCAGCTAAGAGACTCAGAGACTTGTACACTAATGTTCAGTGCAGCACTATTCACAATAGCCGAAAGGTGGAAACACCATAAACAGCCATCTACAGATGGAGGAGCAGAAGCTTCTTTTGGAGAGCCCCTCACAGCACCCAGAGTGCTAGCCCCAGTGCTATTTAACCCCAAAGTGCTTTCTGTCTCTCATACATACAAACACACCTTCTTACAACCCATCCAGTAGGGACCTTGAACCAAACCCCCAGTATGACAAACGAATGCATAACTGGGACAGAAAAAAGAAGGGTGTAGATGAGCTGCAGATGGTGTCCAAGATGCCCAGGCAGCAAACTCAGATTTGCTCCCTTGTTTTAGAGACCTCCTGTACCAGCAGGGAGGAGGTGAGGGAGTTAGAGGTAGAATGATCAGGGCAAAAGGGAAAGAAGAGCTAAGGTTGAGGTTGGGAGAAGGGAGTTGAGAAGCTGAGGGATCCTGGAGCAGGCCCACCAAGCCCAGAAGGGCAGGAAGTTGTCCTAGCTTGTTACTGCCAGAAGCATGCCCTTGAACCTCACTTTGTCTGGGGACCCTAATACATCATACCAAAATACCATGAAGGCAAGGGCCAAGTTAAAGGGGATACAGTTGGGAGTTAAGCCCTCCTATCTCAGCCCTCATCACTGCAGTTGAATTTCACTCTATGGCCTTCTGAGTCTTATTCTCTCTTAAACCTTGGTGGCCTCCAACCTAAGGCTGGCCTGTCAAAAGCACCCTTCACCCCCATTGTAGATCCTCGAAGAGAATAGTGAGAAAGTCTGGAAAGATCAAGTGAATCAGTGTATAGCGGATATAGTTCCTACTGTGTCTTTCTCTCTCCAAAGATGGGACTGCTTTGGGTCAGGGGCTGAGTGCCCTCCTCAAGGTTTTCTACTCATGACTCATTGTAGCTCTGGTTCTTATTTTCCTTGTCCTTTTAACTCTAGAAACCAACAGGGGTCATGGACCTCTGTGTGGGGGTCACAATTCTCCTCTCAGTATCTGAACACGTCCCTCATTTCCTGTGTCTCAAATGACCTCATGGTCACACTTTTGGGGGCAACTCCCTGGATTCACAAGGCAGGAAACAGGGTGAGGGCCCAAGAGGAAGGATTTGGGCTACAGAATTGATGGGAACTGTAGTGGGCCTTGCTTTGGGGACAGCTCCCTAGATTCACAAGGCAGGAAGCAGGGAGAGGAGGCAAGACAGATGGTTTGGACTACAGATTGATGTAAAAAGTAATGCCTGTATCAAGTCTCAGGACTAGGGAATTCTTCCAGGGTTATTGACATCCACTAGTGTGTGTTGTCAGTGGGTTGGATCTGGCTAAATCTTTCTTTTTAGCCAGTGTTTCTGCTAGGGTGGAGTCGGTGGAAGTGGAATAGGGGTGAAGAACGGTCGAACAACTCATCCTAGACTTATCCAGGTTTGTCTAGGCGATGTCCGGGGAAGGGGAGAGATCAAAGGTGAGAGCCCTGTTTACCCAGCCCCCCTCATCAGCGCCCCAAATCACCTCTCCTAGGATTGGATTCACCCCACCCCCAGCACAGTCCTCTCCTGATCCCATTTTTTTCACTCACCGAGGGCACTCAGCCCCAGGAACAAAAACGGCAGCAAGTTAGCCTCCGGCGGCCCAGGCAGGAAAACCATGGCCTTCCCTGCCCCGATGGAGTTATGGGTACTCACTCTGGGACACACCGATCAGCAGGTGCCAAGGCAGATCAACAACTGGGTGGGCCCAGGAGCCAGGCTACTGACACCAAGGGCGGCTCCAGTTCGAATCTGCCTGTGTGCCGGGGCTGGGGTGGGGACCGACAGGGACAGGAAGGCGGGGCATTCGAGGGGGCGGAGAGGTCGCCGTTCTCTCTGGCGAGACGTGCTGGTGACCCGCCGTGGTGGGGGAGGGTACTCCCATGGTCGGAATCCCGAGGTCTGACCCGGCTAGGATGGAGGGTATGGGTGGATAAGTCGTGGCGTCTTCCTGAGTCATCCTGGGGTACCGTGAGGTAAGAAAGCTCTTGAACAGACACCCTACGCCATACTCTTACCCCTGTGCGGGTGGGGCAAGAAGGGGACTAGGGAGGGCGAGAGGTTTGGGGATTGTCCAATGTCCGGGTAACATAGTCAAAGACCAGCAGCTCTGGTCTGACTAATGACTCTGAACTTTTAAACCTATAACCAGGGCGGCCTCCCTAAGGGGGTTAGTCAGGGGTGAGGGGCGATCTCTCTAAGTCCCGAGTTTAGCAGTACGTGGGGGCAGAACAGCTGGAAGGAGTCCGAGTGCCTGCGCAGCCTGGCCCATTCTCCTGCCCCATCAACCGCTTTCCCAGAGCCAGGGACGGACCAAGCAATAGGGAGCTTGGAAGAAGTAGCTCGCGGTCTCAGACCAAGAAAAGTTCCGGAAAAGTTGCAGCCACGCCCCCTCCGCACCCAAAGTGGGAACTTAAACCAAGCGCTGGTGGGTCGGCGGTTTTGATGCAGGGACCGTTTCCACCTGAGGGCGGGGGAAGATAGGTCTCTGCGAATTTTCTGGACTCGCTGCAGTCTATTGATTCCATAAGGCAGAGCAGAACTGCTTCATAGGGTTTCCAAGACTGAAAATCTTTATTCAGAAACAGACTGCCACATCTTGGCAGCTGGGTTCCAATCGCCTATCTTATAATTAGCAAGGGGCTTTTTAGTTCTCTGTAGATTGCCGAAGATTGCCCAGTTTTTTGTGCTTCTTACCACAAGCAGGGAATCCTAGTGTGGCTGTGGGCTAATGCGTCAGATTGTAAAGTCGTTTGAACTGCAAGGTCGGTGGTTCAAGCTCACCAGCAGTTCCTTGGAAACCTATAGAGGGTCGCTATGGGTCAGAATTGACTCGACAGCACTTAACAACAACCACAAGCAGGGAAAATAATGGCCTAGAAAGTTGAGCAGGAAACTGATGAAACAAGTTCGGCTCTCAGTTCCATCCCTCAGGAAAGAACAGCTTTATACAGACTGGGGAGAGAAGGCAGTGCGGTGAAGGGCGTATTGTACAAAGTCCGTCAATTTTTTCCTTATTCCCAGTTTCTTCGCTGCCTCTCATTCCTGCAGCGAACGGTTCAGGCCTGCTCTGATCCTTTAATTCCCGGAATTAGAACTTGTTCACGGAGAATTTAATTTAACCGCCTCCTCCCCAACCCCCCAACTCCCCCATTCAATCAAAAGGCACTTCTCCGCCCTCTGGTGGCCGCTGCTCTCTTAGAGAACTGCACGCACCTGTTACTGTTGCTTTGTCCAACAGATACATACCAAAAAAAAAAAATTTTTTTTTAATGTGTTGCAAACATCCGAGCATAGTGCAACAACCAAGCAATGGTTACAGAGCGCACAAAGCATAACAACAAATTTCTGGCGCTGCCTGCTGTGGCTGACTAAGAAATAAAGAATCCAGGTCTCCTGGATTCCATTTAGTCTAGTTATGCTCTACACTAACATCGCTATGTATGGTCTTTGTGCATTCACTGCCCCAAACACGATCTCAGCTGCCTCTTGTTAGTGTGACTTGCCTGGATCCTTTTCAAATAAATACCTGTCATGCAGTGGCTCTGAACAATGTCTGTGCAAATATTAAATTGCTCATTGTTGTTGTAAAGTGCCTTCGAGTAGGTTCCAACACTTAGTGTCCCTGTATAGGGTTTCCGAGAGGGTGGTGAGTTTGAACTGCCAACCTTATAGTTCAAACATACCTTGTGGTCCAGTGCTTTATCCCACAGTGCCACACCCCTGAAATTTAATACTTGGTAGCTCAATAGCAGCAAAGACAGTAGATAACTGCCTGGCCCTACAAACTTGGAATTCTCAAGTAGATTAGGAGAGAGGGAAGAGGGCAGTTTGTGGGTGTTTTTTTGTTTTGTTTTGTGCTTTTAATCACATTCAAATTTTTCCTACCTTTAGTCTACAATGAACGCCATCTCTCCTTTGTTTCCAGACTAGTTAAGTCATCCCAAATAAGAAAACTTTTCAAGGCAGCACACTCTTTTGGTTGTAACCAATGAAAACCAAGGGATGTAATTATAATGATTATGCTCATTCCTTATCCAGTGCTTCTGTATCTAACTTTTTCCTTTAGAATTCAAATAATTTCACCATCAGAAATAACGCTGTAACCAAGGTTTGTAGACAGAGAATGTCTTTATGTGACAGACAGGCAGTCCCTACCTGGCCCCATCTTGATAGCCTAATACCCTTCACACCACCTCAGCAAGTGTTGCCTCAGCAAAGTAACCCAATCCTCTGGGGTAATGGAGGTCCATGGCCTCTTTGAGTATCCTCCTTCATCACATGGCCTGCATGGCGAGTGTTTGGGCACAAGGCTTGTGGTCTGTAAGGAAAGTCATGGCCCATGGCTTGGATTGGCTTTTTAAAACCTGGCCCTCAGATGGCAATGTCCTGTAGGTGGGCTTACCTGTGAGGTGTCAGCCTGAGAGTAGGGCATGGGGGGGAAACCGGATTAGATACTCATTGCTGTGCTATTCCCATCCATAACCCCTAAGAACGTTCCTCATGTGGTGTTGTAGGATAATCACTGAACTGTTACCCATCAAGTCAGTGGTTCAAACCTATTAGCTGCTCCTCCGAAACCCTGTATCTAACCACTTCTTTTTTTCTGACCCTGAGGCAGTCAAGAAGTTTTTGTTAAGTGCAGTTAATTCCAACTCACAGTGACTCTGTGTACGATTTTCAAGAAGCCACTGGTGGGTTTGAACCAGACTTTGTTTAGCTATCGAGTGCTTATCCTACAATGCTACACCAGGACTCCTATTCAAGTGGTAGAAATTAGAAAAGTGAGACCCTTACTGAGAGTTTTTGCAAAGATGTTCTTTACCTTTTGGTATAATGAGAATGTTGGTACAGATGTCCTTTGATTGGCTGGGACAGTTTATATAAACCTGTTATGTACAAAAGCTGCTGTGCTTATAGTTTCATGTTAAAGAATTATAGGTCAACTGAATGACCTATAATTTTTGGGGGGTTTTGGTTTTCTCCCCCTAAAGTACCCTTCATCTTACATTTCTAAAATCTTTTCTAATACTGATCCTGATGTTGTTAAGTGCCATCGAGTCGATTCCCACCGATTGCGACCCTGTATAGGGTTTCCAAGGAGCAGCTGGTAAGCTTGACCCACCGACTTTGCAGTTCAAATGTCTTTGCAGTCTGACACTCCTACTTGGATTATAGTGTCCTACTTGGAATATAGTGTCTCCATGATCCGTAGCTCAGTTATAAAGCTTAAAGTCTAAATAGTCTCATTCTTTGTTTTTCAATCAATGATCATGTCATATAACCATGACTCATCTGTCAGTTTGTCATACTGTGGTGGCTTGAGTGTTGCTGTGATGCTGAAAGCTATGCCACCAGTGTCATAAATACCAGTAGGGTCACCCATGATGAACAGGCTTCAGTGGAGCTTCCAAACACAGACAGACTAGAAAGAAGAGACAAGCCACTTCTGAAAGGTTACCTAATGAAAACGTGAAAAACAGAAGAACATTGTTGGATACAGTGTTGGAATATAAGCCCTCAGGTTGGAAGACACTCAAATTCAACTGGGGAAGAGCTATCTCCTCAAAGTAGAGTTTACCTTAATGATGTGAATGGAGTTAAGCTTTCAGAACCTTAATTTACTGATGGAGCACACAACTCATAATGAAGAGAAACAGCTGCAAACATCCATTAATAATTGGAACATGCTATGTACAAAGTATGAATCTAGGAAAACTGGAGGTTGTCAAAATGATGTGAAACACATAATGATAGATATCCTAGACATTAGTGAGTTAAAATGGACTGGTATTGGCCATTCTGAATCAGACGGTTATATGGTTTACTATGCCTGGAATGTCAAGCTGAAGAGGAATAGCATTGCACTCATCATCAAAAATAAAATTTCAAGATCTATCTTGAAATACAAGGCTGTGATTTGATAATATCCAAAGACTAGTTAATACAACTACTATTCAGATTTGCACACTAACCACTAAAGCCAGTGATGATAAAATTTAAGAATTCTACCAACTTCTTCAGTCTGAAATTTATCAAACATGCTGTCAGGACAACTAATAATTACTGGTGACTGGAATGAGAAAGTTGGAAACAAAGAGAAAGAAAACTTAGTTGGAAAATATTGTCTTGGTGATAGAAATGATGCTGGGGGTCTCATGATAGAATTTTGCAAGACCAATAACTTATTCATTGCAAATACTGTTTTTCAACATCAAAAGCAACTATACCCATGGAACACACCTGATAAAACACACAGGAATCAAACTGATTATACTGGTGGAAAAGGAAGATGGAGAAGTTCAGTATCAACAGCCAAAACTAGGCCTGGGTAAGACTGGAACAGACTATCAATTGTTCATCTGCAAGTTCTGGCTAAAGCTGAAGAAAATTAAAACAAGTCCAAATGACCCAAAATATGATTTTGTGGGATGACATCAAGAGAATCATACATGAAGGTCATTAAAAAGACAGAAAATACCAAAGTGGGAGTCAGAAAAGACTCTGAAACTTGCTCTTGAACATAAAGAAGTTAAATTTACTGGGAGCTAAAGTGACTGGAAGAACTGCTGAACAGAAATTTTCAAAGGGCAGCTTGAAAAGACAACGTAAAAAATGAT